GGAAGTGCTGTCATGACAGCAAAAATAACCAATTTTTTAACATGTCTAATTTTCAATCCAACCGTTGGATCTTTTTGAAATTTGGTATACTTATAGTACCCTTTGAATGTGACGTGTGAGCTTTAAAATCACTTCGATCGGAGGTCGAATGATGAAACAGTGCCTCCCGGAAGTTGGCCCAGGAGGGCTGTCTGTCATGATAGCATCTTTTTATTTCACTTTTGTCTAGCTTGCTTCCGCGTGCTATAGGTAGAACCTATAAATTTTTTTTAAAGGCTTTAAATGGTTTGTTTTCTAAGTTGGTTTTAGGATTAATTTCTTAACCACACTTAGTTTATTTGAATTGTGTAATTTTTGGATAACACTCGGGGCAAGTGTTACACCTTGTTTGGTTGAAGGAGGAATCTTAATAAGTTCAATTTTTGAAAAAAAAATGGATGAATAGGGTTGGAATTTTTTAATAAAGATGTAAGAGTAAAGCGTAAAGAAAAATAATTGAAAAAATTTCAACCCCTTTTTTGTAAAACTGAACTCTTTAAAATCTTCTATGTCCTCCTCTTCTCTCCATTCCCCACGAGCTAAACATGAGAAATAAAAGTGAGAGAATATGTGCTAATTTTGTAGAAGCCAATAGAAATATTGATGTTTTGACTTGAGCCACTAAGGACTAGTTTTAATTTCAACTTTTGAAATCTGTGTTTGTTCTTGATTTAAAAAAAAAAAACTCATTTAAATGGGTGTTTTATATTTAAATGTATAAAAAAATTATTCTCGTTTTTTATTTAAAAAAATCAATAAAATGGGGACACAGAGTTGTTTCCCTTTCACTTTTATTGTAAAGACACACTATATTTAAGCTACTGTTTTCAATTCCCATTGCCATTATCCATCTTATCCCACTGCCACAAAGCCTCCATTGGCATTCTTTATTGATCCCCACTATTTATCATGTTTAACTATTATTCATTATCACTAGCTGTTATCATTGATCACTGCTTGCTAATCAGTTTTGGCAGTTGTCAACTAACTACTATCAACCATTGTCATTACTACTTATCATTATCAATTATTACTGGCTGTCACCATTTGCTTATGGTGGAGGTCAATAAACAAATGACAATAACAGGTTAGGTGTAATTGATTTTGTAAAGTGGCTGGAAAGTGGGGTGATTTTCACCTTGTGTTCAATCCTAACTAGGAAGAAAGTGGTATATCAAAAGATTTACCATATGCAAAACACTCAAATATTTCTTTTTTCATACATTTATCTTTTATATATCTTTTACAATCTTTTTTTCTATTGCCTTCAGCATTCTGCAAAGCACCTAAATATTTTAATTTTTTGTAAAATTTAGAAGGTATATAAAAATAGAAGGTATATAAAAATATTTCTTATAAAATTTATAAGGTATTTAAAAGTTAAAAAAATTAATTAGGATTAAATTAAAATTTAAAAGGTATACAACAATAATTTTACAAAAAAAATATTTGGGTGCTTTGTAGAAAGCTGGAGGCGGTAAATTTTTTTTTTTGAAATATATATATATAAAGATAAAGGTTATAAAAAAAATATTTGGGTACTTTGCAAATGATAGGTCATTTGATACATTCCTCTCTTCGCAGCCATTGGACTCAACACAAGGTGATGATCATCTCACTTTCTAGTCACTTTACAAAATCTATTGCACCGAGCCCGTTCCCAAATGTGGCTAGTGGTGGCCATTGGTAACTATAATATGAATGGTCCACCCATTAATAATTAATGATAGGTAGTAATTAATTGCAGAAGACATGTTTTAAAAATTTTTTTTAAACGATTTTTTTAAACTCTAAAGCTATTTTCAAATTTAATATAGTTAAATATATTTTTCTTCTATTTTTTTTAAAAACAACTTTCAAAAATTAATTTATAAAATAATTCTAACAAACAAAATCAAGAAACAAATCAAACAAGCCTTAATAATATTCGTTCACTTATAAATATAAAAATAACCATATTACAGTTTTGCCCTTACATTGATTATAAAAAAAAATATTAAATTTTTTTAACTTCTCAAATCAAAATTTTGGTCCTCTCTTTGGGCCAGGCTTATATGATCTAGAATACATTGTGGCCCATGACAATCTTTCTCTCCACTTTAAGGTTGTTTTTCATTTTGGGCCCCATAGATTAGCTCTTCATGGATCTTGTGGAGCACACACATCAAAGAATTAAGTTGTATAACCATTTATGATTGGGCTAGATTTTATGATATGTTTATAAACTGATGATGATTGATAGATGTAGCATGCTCAGTTTTTTTTATATTTAAGGAAATTTGAAAGACAGGTACTTTAGATTATCATTAATCATTAATAAAAACAAAAAAGCACACATTGCATCCAGTTTACTCTAGAAAGCTACAGCCTACAGGGGAAACTAGTTCATATTCTCCCAACTATTTTTTTTTATTTTCTTTCTTATATTATGATGGGTAAAAGAGAAAAGTAGACGAAAAAAGCGAGAGAAAAAAAAAAGATGAAAAAATTGAAAAGAAAATAACATGTGAGACTCACCTATTTTTCTCTCTCCAACTTTTCCTTCAAAAAAAGGGAAGATTTAGGAGAAAAAAAATTTCTTTTCAAATTCACCCACAAATGTTTCTCATCTGTCTCCTTCCATTTTCTTATGTTTGGTTGCAATTTAACATTTAGATTATTTTATGTTTAATAATTTGCAATTATATTTTTATTCCATTAGTAATATATACTAGAAATAATATAAACAATATGTTGAAATATTAAGTTTTATTATGTGTAAATTTTTTTACAAATAATAAAGTTATTACTTATTATTATTTATATGAGATTCCAAACTTTTCCTTTCTCTTTATTTTCTCGCTCGGCCAAATACAAGGAGAAAAAATTCACATCCTTTAACTTTTCTTTTTGCTTCATTTTCTCTTCTCCCATTTTTTATCCTCTCTATTTTCTCGTCAGCCAAGTTCATCTTTTGTTTTAGGGAACGTCTGTATGCAGAGAGACAAAATTTCGGGAACTCCTAATGATTAAACTTGTGTTACTTCTCTGAAACCTGGTAGAGCCAGTTTCTTGATATCCAATTTGAACGTTGCGTTTGAATATAGTGGCAAGTTGGTCTTAGTGAATATGGTTGTGCGCTAATGTTCTCAACTTGTATTAAATTGGTTTACATTGTCATGTTGGCGGGGATAAGTTGGGGACTAGTTTAACAGTCTTTTTAACTAAGAAATGAATATAGTGCAAATATAAAATGAATATACTTAGGACAACAAAATTTGAATTTTAATGTTGGAGAATTATAAGCAAATCGGCTCGGACTTCTCTAGACGTTGCAACTTAGTTTGTGTTTTGGTAAAGTTTAATTTGGTTGAGACAAATCTATCCTTTTACTCTCAATACTCAATACCTCGGAGAGAGAGTATTTGCTTCGGATGAAATTTACTCCTTGTGCTTACCATAAAAGTTAAATCCTTTGAGTAATATTCGAAATTCTGTGCAACATAAAATGCAAGGGCACTGGTTAAAATATTGATTCAAGCATTGTTTTTTTTTCCCCGAAAAATAGAAAATATAATTTTCTATACTCCAAGGGTACAGTTCAAAAGCAAAAATGAACTTTAACCCTTATATTTTTATCTTAAAAAATAAAAGAATGCCATTATTGGTTAGAATGACAGACATCGAATACGATATTACGCTTTTTTTTTTTCAAGTTTTATAATTATTTGATATTCAATTTAAGTGAATCAAATTCAAGCATTATTAAATCTAATGAGAAGTAATTCTTTTTACAAGAATTTTTTCCTCTACACAATATTCAAACTTTCAACCTCACTTAAAAAAAAAAAAAATTCTTGCACTTAATTCGATCACTGCTGGTGGATATAACATACTTTAGTCTACTCAATAAAATTGGAACGATGCACATGGAATCAGTACTGCTAGCCGCCCATCAGGATTGCGGAATCTGGATGCGTCTAATATCACAAGTAATCTTTCAAATTTTCAAGGAAATGGATTGTGTTTCGTCTGCACAAAAGAAAAACAAAGGCTTTTCAATGTGATTAAAATTCTGGTTGTTAAGGATAGACAACAAATTGTCTTGTTCAATTGGTCCAAGCGCAGATCTACAAATCTGAGTGACTTTGAAATTCTCTGCTTTCATTTAACCTCACTCTGGACCTTGTCTGAGACCATGACTCCTTTTCTTGAGAATTTTCAATCGCAAGATCTCCATCTTCTTTGTTGGCTGAAATTCTTCTTCAACAAAGGCTCTAATTTGGTGATCGTAAAAGATATCTGCACAGTCCCCATTAACTTCAATGCGATCTATGCTGGAAGCTTGCATTTGAAACCAGTGCAAGCAGATGCATGTCTCCTGTGTTTTAGTTTCTTCTTTTAGTCTTACTCTAGTTTTAATTTCTTTTTCACTAATCTTTTCACTTTGGATATTTTTGGAACTATTTGTCCTTTAATAAATAAAATAAAGTTGGAACTATGCCTGAGGGTAGTTTCCAATATAAATAATTAAAATGAGGGGTATTTTAAAGAAACCAACACACTTTTTAAAAAAAAAAAAAACTAATTTAACTAATTTTCTCAATCTGTGAAATAATAATCTAGCTCTTATACTCAGAGTCGAATGGAATATATTGATATGTCCCAAATCATAACAAGAGGTTAGAATATGATAGAAGTTAGGGAGAATAACATTGCAATCTCACACAAAAAATTAAATGCCGCAGGATCTACTAACAACTGAGATGCAGTTTAATTCATCTCTCAATGGACCCTAGATGCAGTTTAATTTAATTGTTAATGGACCCTACAGTAATTAATTTTTTTTGTGTAAAACCTGTTTGTAATTCTCCCTAGAAGTTAGGAGGGGTTTAGTTTAGCAAGTGATGTCTCCCATTATACTGTGGGGGCCAGATTATCAGATCCTATCTACACGTTAATTCTGGACTTCCAAAATCCCATTTCTAGCACATGCGATTGCCAACTTGCTCAATTAATGAAACATTAAAATACAATCACTTGTAATATATATATTCTCCAATTCATCTCTTCCAAAACTGGACATTCCAGGAAATTTGAAGGACCAACAGAATGATCTAAGTATCTAACCTTAAAAAGCAATCACAATAACACGAAGATAGTGTGCATGGGCTTGTCCTCTCCAAACTCTATGACGAGTTTAATGAACTTTCGTGCAGCATCTTCAGTCAATTCTTCATAGACCTGTGTATGACAAATATTAATGAATAAACGAACAATAAAGGTTTCACAAAAACACACTCGCTCACGCGCGCACTATATCCACACCCTTAGCTTGTAGGGTTATTTTACTTTATAGTTTATAAAGATTGACACGAACCTTTTTTCCCCCCGTTTTACCCGCTAAAAATAGGCACTTGAGTAGAGAACCCGCCTCTAAAAGTTAACTCATGAGTTGAGAAAAGGGAGAATGACAATTAAGGACCCTACAAGGGACTTAATGTAAAATGAAGACCACCGTACAAGTCAAATTTCGAAAGCTAGCTAATGAAATGATGGGGGGAAAAAAAAACCTCCCAGACTACTTTTGGGCTTATAATAATTGCATTTTCTAGTGTTCGATGGAGACTATATTATACTCTGCATCTAATGGAAAATGTAATTTAGCAGTCAAGCAAACATTTTTCTTGTCAATGGAAAAGACTCCTTCAAGAGCAAAATATGCGTAGCCTGATGAAAACGACCAAAACAAAACCACAAAATCATATAAACTATAAAGATGTCAGTTTTTAGATTTTTCTTTTTTCTGATAAAAAATCTTTTCAATAAATTACTTTCCCCAACCACGTTTTCTACTATATTTCTAGTGAATCATTAGACTAAATAACTAGACTTTTTGTACGTACTAGCTTCTTGTGAATTTTCTGGAAAGCCTCGCAAAATCTCTCTGCTTCTTCCGCACCAACCTGTTGAGAACATTAAAATCAAAGAGCTAAGAGTCAACTTTAGTTATTCATATTGTTTTCACCAATATGCCACATTTAATGACAACAAATAATGTTGAACTACTGAAAATTTGACGCCACCTCAGGATTTGTTCAAACATATAAGAGGAAATTAAGGAAGGGGCAGGGAATAGAAAAGAACCATCCAGCAGATCAGAAATATTATCCTGAGGGACCAGCAAATGAGGATTAAGTCATTATGTGTTGTAGGGTGGCTATAGATTCAGTTTAGATGCTAGGATCATATTTTGGCTTGCCTTAATATTTTGTTGATTGTTTTGTTGGCACTCAGATCATGTTTTGAGAGTTAGACAGAAGTGAAGAGAGTGCTAGTCTCTCGAACACCAGATAGGGATCTGTTCTGTTGCTTTCATTTCTTTGCCTGTAATCTTGTTTCTGCATTAGGGAATAGGGTTTTGGCCAGAATCAATGACTTTCTCTTTTGTAACACTGATACGGTTACTATGCATTAATATCAAAACCTCAGAATTTCCCTATTTGGTCAGTTCTTGCATTTATTTTTTCTGCTAGAAAGTTATTATAGAGCAGAGCTCTATCAAAATTCCAGTGACTGCAACGGCCAATATTTATTGCCAAGAGCAAGATGAGATGTCAGAAATTAGTGTCAACTTATGAAATCATGAAAGGAAAAATTTAACATGCAATTCCTTATATCTTTGCTTTCAAGTTCTTCAATGAAAGCATAGGGTTTCCTAATTAAACAATACACTTTTCATATATTTGAGTTGGGAACCAAATAGTGAAGATACAAGAAACTGCAACTAAGTTCATCATGAAATTAAAAACGAATGCATCTCTTTTCTTTGCCCAAGATTCTCTGCCATTTTTTCATTCTCTCAAATGTCAAAATGGGTGGCAGACTAGCAAATCCATTCCCTTGGGTCTCTCACCCCCTTCTCTCTCCATGTGTGGTGGTTTTTTTTTTTTGGGGGGGGGGGTTTTGATTGTGAAAGAGAATATACAAAGGTTTCCAAATACATTTAATTAAAAATTGATATGATCAAATCCAGAAATTTGAGATTATAGCTTTCCTTTTTGGTTCTAATTAAGTTTAGAATCAGAGGTAAGACTTAACAAGATGTACTGTAATGAACTACGAGACTTCCAACAAACATGGAAATGCATGTCCTTTTTTGGTGGAACCGAAAAACTCATTCAGATGCCAATTCAAACTCAAAATATTCATTGCAGTGAAATTCAGCTTACCTTCCTCTCAGCTACTGCCTTTAACTTGCTCCAAAATTCATCTGTTGATATGAATTCACATAAGCACAGCATAATTTAAGCTCTAAGTTCAATGAATTTAAGTTCTAAGTTCAATGATCCATTTTAGGTTATGTCCCTCCTTTTCAATCAGGTTTTCAATAATATTGACACAAATAAAAAATTGCATATTTGAAAACCTCACAAAGCTCTTATTCTTCATGTTTATGTGCAAATTAGTTCAGAAAAGTAGCTTATTAATTCCTGCATTTCCAGGCAGCTACTTTCCTATGAAACACATTACTTTGGGTTACTTCGTGAAAAATAGTGGTGAATCTTGTCTCAGTCTCTCATTATACAGTTCAAAGGTTTTGGCAAGACCAAGGATGCCAAAACTTTGCAAGTGTCTGATTTTTCAGCCCCTGGGTGTAATTAGTTGGATCAGAATACCTGCAATTTTAGGATATTCCTTTCGTTTCATATATCCTTCAGGTTAGGATCATAATTATTAACATTATGCCAAAGGCTGTTCTACAACAATCTCTCTTACTGATATGCAAGATGATGGAGAAGTATTGCTGTAATTTCAAGCCAATATTTTTCCAGTTAACCTACTGGCTGTTTTCTCTCCTTTTTCTTACAAAATACAAGAGACAAAATTTTTAGAATCTAGTTACTATATAGCCAAGTCATTCAAGAGCTTTTCGTACTACCTTGAGAATTAAACCTAATTAAAATGAATTAGAAATAATTAACTCTAACAGACTAAAATAATCAAATAACTGAGTTGAGTCACATACTACCATGTTCATTTCCTTTAATATCAAGCTCCCTATCACCACCATCCCATGCATCTTGCCATTCCTTCAGCTATTGCAACAAATTAGTTAACTAACATTACACCCACCCACACACACAGAGAGAACAACACATACAGTAGTGTCAGTACAGTTACCTCATCCTGTGCAGATCTAGAACTAGAAGTTGATTGTCTGGGTCCTGATTCTGCCTGAAATTTTATGATTGTTGATAAGGTAAGTCAATGCATAATTAAAAGAAGGCTATATATTAGTAAAATAATTAGGATGTGCTGAATATATTGAAGTTTGGCTGTTAAGTTGTATTTTTACAGAATTATATTACTGTGGAAAATAGTTGTTCAAGTTCAAAATGTCCCCCAAATCTTCAGCAACATAAGCTTATAAAAATGTAAAAAAAAAAAAAAAACACTTAATTTCAACAAGATGGCTCGTGTTTTGTAGTTTTTATGCTAAGATCAGTGTCGACTAAAGGCAAATCTATGAATAAAAGAAACAAGAAGTAGAGCAGCATTAGTATCTGACACATTTTGACTTAGACATGATAAACATAAGTTACATTTAAACTACGTAATGCTGCCTTCCTTGTGTTTGTGCCCATACTCCATACACGAGCTACTATATAGAAACATCAATATATCAGTATAGTTTATTAAAATCTATATAAGCCACACTATTTACTGGTCAGTAATAGTGAAAATCATTCCTCAAACTTTATATAGTGTATGGGAAAGCATGTTTAGTTTGATTTTTATAGTTAGTACAAGATTGCTTTATCACGTTAAATTTACAAAATCCAAAGATTGAAGAGAAAGAACTGGTTAATTGCGAACTTAGATGACTGCTGGTTAGATATATGATCTCTAACAAGAAAAGCACTGAAACCAAGTAAACCCAAATATAAACATAAAATAAAAGGCATCATTGACAATTTTACCCCAAGCGGTAAACTGCCAAATATATCTTAAGAAATTCAATACCCTTCTGATTCAGGAAGCTTACTTGACCTGATAATCTATGAAAAGGTACAAATATACATATACACAAAAACTATAAGTTCGAACAAACCTCACAGACTGTATAGGGTTCCCATCCGCCATGACTATCAAAATCGGGGCACAAATCTTGTAGTGTAGTGCAATAAAATCACTGACAGAAAAAAGACTTGCCTCTAAACCGGAACATATTTAACACGGAATTGCATATAGGCCCAAAGAAGCTCAGAGTCAGTCAAAATGCATGACTATAAAAGAACTAACTGACAACTTCTCAAACAATATAGAGTGTTCAAATCAATCAACCAAACTAGAAGCAAAAGGGTATTATTGAATAAGAAAGAAGCCGCACGCTGACTACAAAAACCACAGAACGAGTCTTAATCAAACTTTCACCATCTTCGGAGTGAGAACGCCAATAATATTGATCAAATCTCAAGCTGGACGCCTAAAACACGAAACCCTAAAAACCGGGGGGCAAGGAGATAGTGAGATACGTACACAGTAATCGCGAGAACGAACAACGGGAAAGAGTTGTAGAACCCGTCGAAATTCTGCTTCATCCATGGTTGACAGGCTCAATACTACTGCTTCAGCGGCAGATAAAACTCTTTTTGGAAACCGAAGATGCTAGCTATTGGCAAAGAAGAAAGAAGGAAAAGATGAGGAGGATGCTTTGATTGTCTTCAACGTTAAAGAAAAGGAACCACTTTTGACGTGATAATGGAAATCACTACATTAACTGCCCTCGTGCTGGAAGAAGATCTGGAACCTGTAGCAAGTTGCTCTCTATCTCCTCTCCGCGAATAACTCTTGTTTTTTTTTTTTTTTTTTGGGTCTTTCCTACTTTGTAAAATCAAGGTTAAAATTTAAAAAATGGAAATGAATGACAGACAGACAACCACTTAATAAAAATATTGATCAAATTTAAAAATCTCGAATTATCAAAATGACAATAAAAAAAACTATGATTCGTAATTAAAAACAAATGATTTATAAAATTTGGCCTTATAATCATAAGAACAATTTAGTCCATGAAAAGCGATATATGTTAGCTGTAGATTCTAGCCATTTGTTAAAAAAATTAAATATTTTTAATCAAATTTTATTTTTAATAAATAATTAATTATCTTTAAATTAAAACTAATTTTTTTATAGTTTATCCTAGTTAAAAAGAATGTTTCATTTGAAAATAAATAAAAGTAATTTATTTATTATGGGTACTTTTAAAAAATACATTAATTATAATTGAAAGTTGAAACACTAAAAATCCCTTATATTTTTTAAAAAATTAATCATTTAATCCTGTAGTTTTAACCAATTATAACTCAATTCTTGAACTTTGACTCATTATAACTCAATTCCTAAAATTTTAATTTGATTCTAAATTAGTCTTTAAACTTTGTCTTTGCAATTTAATCTCTGAAATTTCAACCTCTTAAATATTAATCTCTATATTTTAAAAATAAAAAAATTAAAAATATTTTAAAATTTATTACTAATATCTTAAATTACTAAACCTTTTAATATTTAAGATATTAAAAGTTCAAAATATTTTTAAATTTTATTTTTTTAAATATAGGGACCAATATTTAGGAGGTTGAAACTTCAGGGACTAAATTGTAAAAGAAAAAATTTAGGAATTGATTTACAATCAAATCAAAACTTTAGAGGATTGAGTTATAACGAGTCAAAATTCAAATTGAGTTACAACTAAGTCAAAACTATAAGGATCAAATGATTCATTTTTTTTTATTTTTTAACATACAAACTTTTAAAAATGCCTTATATTTTTTAAAGAAGAATTAACGTAAGTTTATAAAAAGTCAATTATTGGTAGACAGCCAATCTCTTGACTTTTTTTTTTGTTCTCTAGTTATCCCGAGCTGATCGTAAAATTAATCTCTTGAAAAATTTATGTCATTAAAAAGATTGTTCTCTTTTAAGCAATTCTCTACATGCATGCCTCCATGAATTAAACCCTGAAGCAAAGGGAGCATGATAGCCTCATGACATTAAACTATGAATTTTGAATTTTAGGACAATTATTTGTAAATATATGGAAATTTAACTGTGTGTGAATAAACAAATAGTTGTATAGAAAATATTACCTTTTTTAATTTATAGGACACTTTTAGATAAAATTATATATAGGAATAAAGTTCATTAAATATACTTTACAACATTACTTTTTAAAATAAAAATATAACTTATAAAAATACTCTTCATTTAATATTTTATTTGTAAAAAAATATTAGAAAAGAAAGAATGTATGAGAAAAGGTAATATTAGAAAAGCATGATTAATGAAACATTTTTTGTTAAAGTATATTATACTTTGAAACATTAAATTTCTCTTAAAAATGTCTTGTAAATCAGACGGGAAGGAGTAGCTAATAGAATATCAATAAAAAATTTAAGAAAAATTAGTTTGAATTTAAGGAAGCTGGCTCATGAATAAATGGACAGTTAAATGTAAATGAATATATAGTTTTATGAATTTATGTAATATCACTTATAAATTTAAAAAGTCACCTATAAATTTTATAAACTTTACTGGTAAATCCTTGAAAAGTCTATGAAAATAAATAGATAGTTTAATGTAAATAAATGCATCAGCACTTGTGAGTTTCGAATTTAATGACAATAAAGTGTAAATCTATGATTGAGGAACCCCTCCTTTTTCTAAATATCCATCCATATATTTTTTTTTAATTTCACAATTGACTAGTTTTAAATTTACAAATAATGATGCATAAATTTGTAAGATTAACTATCTATTTACAATTGATTTTTCATTAATTTCAAAATGACATTTCTTAATTAAATTTCTATTAATTTATACATTAGTTTTCCTAAATTCACAACTAACTTTTCTCAAATGTATAAGTGACCTTCTGCTAAATTGTTCCTTTGGTGATGATCACAGTTAAAGTCATTTGTTTTTAATTGCAAATAAATATCATGACTATTTTATATCATTTCAATAATTTGATATTTTTAATTATTTTTAATGTCTTTCTGAGATTTTTATCTGCCAACTTTTTTTTAAAAAAAATATGATCTCAACTAGAACTAAAAGTTACATGATAACTTATTTCAGGTTAAGCCTATTTATTAGATCTTTGATTAGGCCTGTTTAGATAAAAATAGGCTTAGACCTAACCTAAAAACCTTATAAACCAATCTATTTACATGTATATTGTCTATTATTATATAGTATATTATGTACATATAATATATAATTTAAGAATTTGAATATAATCAACTCCACTCCCACTCTTTTGCCTCTTCTCATTCTTGTTCTATATCAAAACTTGAAAATACTAGATGGTTTTTTTTCTTGTCTATATTCTTTTTTTATTATCTTTTGTATCATGAATTTATAATATATTAGATTTACCATTTGATTTTTAATCAATATATTAATTTTTATTTTGAATTCTTTTAGTTATATTTTCAATTAATTTGGACTTATGCATGTATTTATTTGATTAAACTGTATTTTTACTCTTAAAGTACTTTTCGAAGAGTTAGAGCAATTTTTTTCTTAAAATTATTAAAATGGAGCATTTTTTACCTTTCAGTTAAAATTTCAATGTTGACCATTAGAAAATTTGATGGAAAGAGCAAAAATGCTCCGTTTTAATAATTTTCAAAGTAAAATTGCTCTAACAAAAATGTTAGGGTACTGGGTACTTTTTGAGAAATACTTCAGGGGCAAAAATGCACTTTTACTCTATTTATTTCATTTTTGTTATTGTATTAAAATTGATACGTCTTCCTACTTGTTATATATTTTAGTTGTTAATTCAAGTTGTATGTATATAATTTTTAATGATTCTACAACCTCTATGAGACTTTAAGGTTTATTATGTAAACTTATTTTAAAAAGCCAACTTACTTTCAAATAAGCTTTTAGGCCAAGTCAAATTTTTAGTAAGTTTAAGCCATAAAAAAAAATTATATATAAACTTTAGGCCAAGTTCAAACTTCTGAACTGCCATACAAGTTTAAATTTATTTAGTTAAAGCCTAACTTGACACAACCTATTTTTACCGCTATTCCCAACTTCTCAATTTTAAATAATACTAGGTTAAATGGGATTATTAAAGAGAAAGTTAGGTTGAAGGATCAAATGGTGAATATTTAATGATATTATGGACGGGGAAATGTTTTTCCGTATTTAAAAAAAAAAAATTTTTTGATCAGATGAAAAAACTTAATAAAGTTTAAGCATCAAAATAAAACATACAAGCGTAAAATTAGATGTTCCTTCATTTGGCTTCTAATTTCTTCTGCTGTCCCTTCCTCCTTTTAAATTAGCCTTGGGCATGATCCCGGCCCTACATTGTCACAATTTGCCGTGATAACTAATAATATAAAAATTGACGTCCTCCCTTTTTATGATAAAATTTATGGAAAAAAAAAATTACATTCATGAACTACTTAAATAAATTATACATAGACATTGCATAATAACAAGTCAAAAAAAAAAAAGCCATTTTTCATCTTAACAATTTATTCTCCATCAATCCTTATTGACAAATAATTGATGTGATCTTTGAATATGATTCTTCTAAAAATTCTCAACATGGTGCCATATCTCAAAAACAACTTTGAAAAATTTTATTAAAAGGTTACATGAAATTTATCTATGATAAATATTTTTAACATTAAATGAAATTACAATATTCATGATTGACTATTACTCCCTTTAAACAAAAATATAAAATATTGATAACTAATTTACAGTTATAAAAAAATATTAGTTGAAACCTTACTTTTTAAAAAAAATTTGAATTTTTTCAATTACACCCTCACTAAATACCCTATATAAGTTTCTTAATAATAATAATTAAAATTTTAATACATCATTTTTTTCAAAAGGAATAATAAATGAAATAGAGGTATGTTTAAAAAATAATTATAAAATTTATCCAATGTCTTATATTTTAGACCAAGCAAAAATTTCTAGAAGAGATCTTATATTGTGATTTGAAGAGAATATTAATTATAAATTTTGCAACTTTTATCCAAAAATGTAAATTTTGACATAAATAATTCTCCCACAAATGTCCACCAATGACATTAAGTTCTAACCTAATTTGTCAACAGAAATTCATGTATGAGAGGAATTTTTCTGTGACATTAATGTTTCCTGTCTTCAACAACGTCAATACACTTTTTCAACAGCAACTTTGCCTCCCCATTCTTCTCAAACTCATGGAGATGACGAAGTTCACCTTCAAATCCTTCATTGATGGCACTGACTTGAGGCTGGTCCATGAAAAGTTCGAGCATTTCCAGGAGACATTCTGAGGCAGATATATGAACCTAGTTGAGACATGAAAAGAATACGATGAAAAGTCAAATGAATGGAGAATAAGAGCAGGGAGAATGACAGTTAAGCCCTGGAACTTTTAATTAATAAAAGTTAAGTCCCCGACACAAAATTTTAAAAAAATGAGTTAAAAATATTAATTTAAATAATTATAAATTTAGAAATTTCAACTATAAATAAACATTTAATGTGTTAAATGTAATTATTATATTGTAAAAAATTTTTTTTTATAACTGCTAGAATCAATATTTACAACTCATTTTTCTAAAAATTTTATCGATAACTTAAATTATCATTAATTGAAGATTTTGGAACTTAACTGTTATTGTTCCTGAAGAGTAAATCAGAAAAATAACCAAGGGTTAAACATGTTACCATTATAAATGATGAATAAGAGTATTGGGAAAAAAGTACTTTTTTACATTGATTTGAGGAACTTCAAGGATATGTTTGAAATAAATAAATTGTTTGATCAGCATAGCTAACAACTTGGCCACATTTTCAGACAAAATAACATCATCAACGTATGCTCAAAAGCCACATTTTGATCATATAACAGAAGATAGTTGCTGGCCAACAATACATGCCAAAGATACCCTTAAGTTCCACAAACCAATGTCAGAAAGGTACTCCCCCCCGCTTTATTATTATTAATTATACCATACTATATTATTTATTTATTTTGGTATGAGGAGATGGCGTATCTAATGAATACTGCTCAAACGAACAAGATAGTGGCATACCTGTGCAATCTTTATTGTGCTAATGCACTCAAGTATTTTTGGGGATATGACATCAAACATCTGAAGACAAGTAGAGTTGATTTCAGATCATTATTAAATAAGTTAACAGAAACTAAATCATAAATAAACCCTGATTACCTCCTGAACGAATGTAGTTACACCAGCAAGTTCGGAAGTTTCATGGGAATCCTTCATGGCATTTTTGAGTCTTGAGCATAGTTCTTTGATAGATAAAAAGGCCGCAGTTTTGACTGCACAACGTAGACTTATTTAACAAAGATAGAAAAACAAATGGCAATGAACTATAAAAAGAAACATAAAGAATACCATTCCATTGATGCCCTGGTGAGAGGAATATAGAGTACATGTGTATTAAGCGCTTTTGTTGTTCAAGAATATCATTCAAATGTGCCACATGAATGCAAGATGTCAAACAGTCTACCACTTTGTTGTGAGGAACAAAACCACTTTCAGCAACGTCCGAATCTGCAAAGAAGTAAATCATTCAATATACTTGTAAAGTCTTGAGCTGTAGAACGCTTAAGTCAGCATGAAACATTATCTTCTTAAAGTTGGAACCGTTCCATTTGTTACAAGATAATGATATCTCATGTAAAACTGGTCAAAAAGATAAATCAATTATCGCCAAGCACGCCCGAACTGATAATCACGAAGGGCATATTTTGACAGGTGGGGTTACTTGGAAGTGGCATTGAAAGGATGATGATCTTATATGTGTTGTGTAAAGACATTCCGAAAGATCGTTGTTGCTATAACTTAACTAATTGATTTTATGTGATTTTCCACAATAGAGAGGTAAATGATCTTTGGACTTCTATTATTTCCTTGCACTAAACATGAAAGCAAATTCTAAATCAACGAGGACAGATGGCAGTAGAATTCAAACGCGCTACCACCAGTACAAAGAATTTTCAAGGGCATTGTGGCCACATATTGCATCACAAGAAGTTAACATTGCGTATATGCAAGCAAGCAAGCATGTATGCATGCGTGCAGTGGATATGTTCACACACACGTGCTAGCCAGTAGAAGTGGCAATGAATATCGAAGAAATGTCTTCAATATTTATAGCAGTTTATGCCATACTAAATAGAAAGACATTGTTCAATAAGATCAAGTTTCAAAATACTGATTTCATAAATTCTGCTGCCACATATTATAACACTTTCGATTGCATTAAAAATTTAATTGATGGATGTACATAATATCCTATTAGATAAGACAAGCACAATGAGCAACATATAATTGAGGATCTAGAGCTCGTCATAACCTGCTTCAGCAGCGTCGTTGATTGAAGGTGTTGGCAGAGACTTGTTGAGGTCTGAATTGCATAAATCAAATAACAAAGGAAAAACCATAATAAAGAATTCTGAATTGCCAAAGGCCTTTATAACCTGAAAAACAAACAGGAAAATGATTCAGGATTCCATTTATCATGAATTACACGAAAAGGGGGTGAACTAGACCAAAATTATCTATCTTCTCGGCCTAATTTACAAGAACAATAGATCCAGAAGCTTGCGCAGGATATATCCATTTACTTTCATAAACTTTCCCCTCTTCCAGTAATCTTGTTCTTTTCATTATTCTTATAGATGCTCATCTCTCTTAACCTTCCAACTAGATTCTCAAAATATTGAAGAGATATTATCACAAAATTTTGATTCTGTTTACTGTCACTTCATTGTCTGTCATTCATATAGATGTAGACATCGCACAAAAGTTCCCATTTATTGACAACGAATGAAAAAAAATAGGATTAATATCAGTGCATTCCAAAACCGACCAACTTTTAACAATTATTATGAGGATATTACACGAATGTGCATAAAATTGCCATGTTATACAACAGACAGGAATGGAAATGTTACACTGCTATTTATAATGGACTGAGGATGCCAATAGGTCTACCACACAATTTCATCCGAAGTCCTCAGTATGTAAAATGAAATAGAATGAACAAAGGAATGAATGAAAACAGTGATTGTGTAGATTAAAAAAACATCTTTTATACCTAAAGAGAGTTATGACAAAGGTGTGAAGGACATTATGTACATCAATTTTTGTGCATTGACTATACCAAATAGGGCGCCCTAAAGAAGAAAGCTTTTATATAAATATTCCTAGCAAGTACTACTATCAATTGCTAACCTGATCGAGAGAGGAGAAAGCTGCTTCACGGTATTTCTTTCCCTTCCTAGTGCATGCAGATGAAACTATCTTCAGAATGGCAGCAGAAGAGGAGGGGCCTTCAGCAGAAATTGCTTTATGGCAGGATGCAGATAGAGCACCTAACGCTAGCAACAAGACATCCTTTCCCTGTCATATTTATCTTTTAGTCAGGAACTAGCACATTAAACTGAAGCTATTTTGCCAACACTAGAACATCCTTTCACCTGCCACACTAGAATAAACAAATAAAGTGGAATTATTTTCACTTGATGGCACTTATTCATCTTCTTACCTCCCATAAACGACCAGGAATTTCCTTCATGAGAGAGTTAAGCAGAACTTCATGGTGAGAAGAAAGAGTTTCACCCAAAACTTCACTAAGCCTGCAAATAGCCTGTGCAGACTGCAGGTACAGCAATGAAAATCAGCAAACATCTACATGAAAATGCTAAACTACAATGAGGTGAAATCAATTATAAAGACATGGGTAGAAGAGAAAGGCAAGACTAACCTTTCTTTTACTTGCCCATGATGATGATGAAATACGTTCACAAATAAGTGAAACAATTTCTCCCAAGTATAATTGGAGGGTGACTCGTTCTCCACTGGTATATTCTTCCCATATTTCTTCGAAAAGTCTTGAAACATGTTTGTCATCTTCAAACCTGCATAAAAATAAACATTTCCCTTTACCAGTGATATAAAGATGTGGTAAGTTATTGACAAATAGACTCAAGACTCAATAGGAACACACACAGAAACAAAGAAGGAAAAGATATAATTTTAGGATTCAAAAACACATAACAACAACAACAATTTGCTTTTGCATTCTGAAGTGGCTTGGCAGATTTCCTACATGTTGTTTGATATTTTGCAGGAGGTTGAATGTCCACCTAATCTACAAGTTTTTAATAAATAAGTACACTGGTTTCAACTACAAAATGAAGCACAAAGTTCTTTGCACCTGCTTCCCTGGCTGGTTTCTGTATCTTTAATTAGAACGGAATGTATGTGTTTCGAGAAAAATTTCTTCCCACCCGCTTTCTGGCCTCTCTGCAATGTGTGTGCGTGTGTGTGTTTTTTTTTTTTTTTTTAAAGGCAGGTTTCTCTTGAGGACTCATGAGGTTGGAAAATTCTTGAGCTAACGAGTCTGTAAAATTTTTTAATTATTTTGGGAAAAACTTGTCCTTATTTTTGTATTTCTCTTCTCTTCAATAAATTCCTTTTTATTTTTTTATCAAAAGTTAAGGAAGAATAATATAGACTAGCTATTCAAACCTTGAAACAAAAACAACTGGAATTATGACCGCAAGGTATCCGCAGACAACATCTGATGCCATGGATGAATAGCTCTTCAAGAGAAATGCGCATGCAATTTGAGAATTTCTGTCGCCAGCATGCAGAGCTGCAGTGTCTTCAATTAGTTTTTGCGCTTGAGAGGTTGCTACATAGTTTAATACTTTCGCACAGGCACCAGCGAAGGCACGTTTTGCAGAATTGCTTTTTTCCTCCTTAACAACAGGAAACAATAATCTTACAAGCATGTTAGCATATGGCTTCATGTCTGCACCAATCCTTTCGAGCAATAATGTAATGAAGTTGGCCACACCAACCCTGCAATGGTACAGAAATATTTCAAATTTTTTTTTTTTAAAAAATTATACTTGCACACAAGGACATACATGTTAAAGCAGCAAGTTATTACAACAGGAGGAAAACAAAGCCAGGAGAAAAAATATGAAGAGAGAAAATTCTAGCAAGAAATTCTGGAGAACAGAGGTGATCACAAAGAACATTGAAAGCTCTATAGCACGTCAGAAAGCTTCACCATCTCGTGGTAAAACTATGAGATCATCAATGATATCAAAATTCTCAAGTGGAGTGTTTTCAGCAAGCAAGAATGGGGTAAATGAGCAGGTGTGTAGAAACAGACCTAGTATTGAGGCCAACTCCAGATCTCACTAAATGAGCAAGTGCCGGTATCAGAGCACCCAGAGATTCTGCATCAGCAACTTTTATACATGAATCCAAAGTCTCCCACATAGGAGAGCCTTTGGCGATGGAAATTCTCAAACTTTCAAGCTTCTCTGTCTCAATTCCCACATTTTCCGCGTGACGCTAGGAAAGTGAAGATTAATAATCGTATGGTAAAAAAAAAAAAGTCAATAAGTGAGCTTCAAATTTAAGAAGAGGACATATTAGTCGACCAACCTCTACATAATTGAGTCCTTGGTCTTCTAGGCTTGATAAACTTTCAAGCATGCAGCACACTAATGCAGACAAATGTGGACGAATTGCAATTCCAGCATGCTGAAGAGAGACAATAACAAAAAAGGCTAGAAAATGAGTTGATTTCAACAATAGAAGAAAATATTAACACAACGCCAATATAGTGGCAAGATCCATAAAAAAGTTGATTAACCTAACATAATCACCATGAGAAAAAACGTAAAATGCAGCTAACAAAGTTCATGATGTAGTCAAGTAGAAAAGAGAAAAATATACCAAACAGGATAGTATAAGACTAATGCATACCTATTTTAGCCAACTGAAATTATAATAGAGCAATATTGATGACCAGATGAGGAAGACTATGGACACTAGACAACCTCACAGCCACAACCAATCAAGTGAAATAAGTAGACAGAGAATAGCCAAAAGACCACACTCTCATGCATCTATTGCAATCAGGTTTAAGATCTTTCAGGACTCTAAGACTCTGCACGCTATCAATTTCACTCTCATCCTCTACTTACCAAAATCAAATTCATTTTTTTTAATATCATTAGTTGATCTGGATTACTAGAGATCTGTGCAAGGCTGAAGATATTGCTAATAAGATGCAAACTGAACAGGTTAAGAGCCCGTTTGTTTAAGTTTTTTCCATAAAAAATCACTTTTTTTTTAAAAAAATCTATTTTAAAAAATTTTATATTATTTGTTTGAACTTTTGAAAATAATCAAAATTTGAAAACAAAAAGAGTAGATATCTAATTATTTTGAGTAACTTCTGAAAATAATCAAATATGGTAGATGAGACAAAATGTTATAAACATGCGGATATACATGAAAAATATCATAAAAATTTAAAATAATTAAATATCAAATCATTTTTATAAAACAAAGATTTGCAAAGATATCGTAAAAATCTAAAAATAACTAAATAATAATCAACTTCAAACATAAAATAATGCCTATTTTTCATAAAATCTCTACAAAATAAATTTATTTTTATAAAATCTCTGAATTATCAAAAAAAAAATATTTATTTTTTAATCTTAAACAAACAAGTCCTAAGAGTCACAAAAGAAAAAAAGCCAACACATATAATCCCCTCCTGTGAGCATAAAAATGTTCACACGTGTTGAAAGCAACACATGAGAATTCCACACCTTTGTAAGCTTCATTACAACAGCAATTGATGCCTTCCGAACACTATCAACTTTACTTAATATGCCTTCTGCAAGAAGAAAAGGTAAAACAATATCCATGGCTTGGCGAGTATCTGTCATATCAGTTAGAGAAACATCACAAAGCCTTGTTGTTAACGTAGTTACAGCGCGGCATAATTTTTCTCCAGAAATTCTGATGGTCTCCTTTATATCATCCATGGCACGAAATGCTGCAGACCATAATCTTTTTAGATGCATTCCAACCTGCAGAACAAGTCAAAAGTTATGCACCTGAACAAGATTGAAGGTACTTTAAGATGGTTGAGATACATCAAGATCAACTAGTTTCCCTAGAGCTGATAATTTGGGCAACAGGCCAGCCCAAAAAATCATAGGGCTGGGCTTGGGAGTTTAAAAAATTTTCTTTACTTCGAACTTTATTTGGTAGCCCGAATAAGTTCAGAGAGATTTGAATTCTTTTTTATTATTGATAAAAAATTTAAAATAAGGTAAAAATTGAAAAATCTTAATTTTTTAAGAAAAATATTGAAATTTGCTAAAAAAAGAAAAATAAAGAAAAATTTAACAATTCTAGTATTCAGGATAACTCAAATAAGCTTGAAAGCCCAAGGTGTTAGCTTGTTAGGGCTGGGTTTGGTTATATGGGATTTTTTATATATTCAAGCATTTTACACCTGATCCAAATGAGGCCACGCCACCCAAATTGCCAGCTCCAAGTTTCTCAAGTTTGCTATAGTCAAACTGGTTTTCTCCTCTTTATTTTACCTTCTCACTGTGAGTGACTAAGTGTACAAATGTGTGTGCATTTATAAAGTTACCTGATGAAAATGCTGTAAATTCTGAACCAGAATACAAAAAGGTTAAAGGATATTACTCACAGATAGTTCCTATGGAGCTAAAAACGTTTTAACACTCAAAAGATACACAACTCATATTATGTGCAACATCTGGTAATCATCCTTTAAATCTGACGTCTAATGTGTTTTGGCATAGATAAAGGCACTTGCAAGTCTTCCCACCTTACTGGCTGAAGTTTAAATAGTTAGTTCATGTGCATATTATGCTGAACATTATCCCTTTCCATTTGAAGATATTTCAAAGTGATTCATATGCAATTGTTTACTTAACATAGAAATTTCAAGTTTCTTATCTTAGATCAAAAAAATTGAAAATAATCTTGATGACCTCATGAAATTTTCGTCCTTGGATAATATCTGCAAGGGCAAGACACGATGCCTCACGTGAGCGCCAAAGCCTAGATCCACATTGATGAAGTAAATCATCCATGATGAGATCTAAGTTTTCATCAATGGTTTTCTTTGAGTCGGCCACTAGTGATTTCCATATATTTGCCATAGCATCCTAAACAGAAAGATAACAAATGTAATGAACCCAAAATTAATAACCAAGGGAAGAATTGATAAACTTATTTCCATTGATCCATTCGCTGCCCTTTTGGGGGAAGTGAAAGTGTTAACTGCAAAAAGGACATGTGAAGTACAAAAGGTATGTAATAGCTTTAAATGTTATAATTTCTTTTTAAAAAAATCATTTGCATGAGGATACCTGCACATTTTTATCAGGATCAAATTGGTAGCGTACAAGCCTTGGAATCAATAAATGTAAATGTGGCTTAAGGGCATCCCCTGCTTGTTTTGCTATCTTAGAGAAGCCAAAAGCAGCACCCCTCTTAGAATTTAGGGAAGATTGATAATTAGCTAAATCCATGAACTTATAAATTAAGTCTGGTTGACCCATCTCATTTGCTAATCCGCACAACTCTTTGTAAGTGTTCAGTTTCCCTCCGTTAATGCTTTCACCAAGAGCTCCACCTTGAAATACTTCTGTGTCTTCCCCAAGCTGCAAACAAAACTCCAAAGATCCAGGTTTAAAGACAAACATAAATGAGAGAAGAGAAGAAAATCAGAACGGAATTAACAACTCACTTTGATGGCTCTCTTCCGCTTCCCAGAGCCAGTCAAAGTGTTCACAAGTGCATTCACTAAATTTTTTTTCATAGATGCATCACCAAGCTCATACACAATACTCATGCCTTGGGAGGCCAGTTCTTGGGTGAGTTCATTTTGCTCACCAAGAAGGTGAGAGAAAGCCTCCTGCATTCACACGATAATTGTTAAATATAGATTCCAGGTTCCTTTATGCAGCTACACCAAGGATATGGTACAAGAGAACATCCTACAGATCAAGGTATTTGGATTTTATAATTTCAGGATTTTTCTGATTTCACAATGAGGAATGGCTTATCACATTAATCACAAAAAGTATCACATAACAACTCACAATAACAACATGCACAATAGGACATCTACTCCTATGCATGTCTGTCAAGAATTGTTCCCTGGGAGAAAACACGAGCAAAGCTCCAAAAGATTCCAATAACAAGATATCTGCCAAGGATTGTTCAGTTGAAGAAACCTCTAAAATATGACCATCCCTGAAAATATGACCATTCAGTTCTAGTAATATATACCAAATATCATCTTTAACTATACATCTTCATAAATTTGCCCCCTTATTTACTCCTGCCAAATCTTCTAAATCTAATGAATAAAAAAAATGTTTCAAACTCAATAAGGACGCCCTCAAGAATGATAAAATCCTACATCATAATTTATACCAAGCCAGGAGATAGGCATTGTTGGACATGAAAAACCTATAAATTTAAAAGTTTACTTTTCAAAAGATTAAATTCTTAATTGATTATTTTATTAATGGGTGAAAGTTGAGAGTAATTGCTCTGATTTTATTCAATTGATCCAGAATAGCCAATAGGTAAGCACATACATTTACACACACACACACACACACACACATTCTGATGCTAAAAAGTTAACGTCCTAGAAGGAAAAGGATAGCATCTTTACTAATATTAAAAAACACCTAGCCTATCCTAATGACACTCTAGTTGACATAGAAGATAGAAACACACACACACACACATAAAATCACTGAATAACCAGACACACAAAAACAATGAAGCCCTAGGGCATCATATCAGAATTTAGGCTCCTCATTCACAAAGACTGAAAGCATTGAAAAGAGGGAACCACTGATCCACTTTTTCTACATGCTCCCAAAACCATGCATAAAGATAAACCAACTGATCCAAACTGGCCATTGATAACAGGGCTAAACATGGGCCAGGCCAGGTTTGACCTCAAGTTGAGGCCTGGCCTATAAAATTATCCAGGTTCAAAAATTTCAATCTGAAGCCCAGTCTGATCCAGGGTAACTCGACACAGGATTAGACCAAATTGGACCAGGACTGGTTAGACCAGTTTGGCCAACACCATACCTCTCTTCAGTAAAAATAAATAAATACATAAATAAATTTGAGAGAAAGGAAGTCGATAGAGAACAGAGCAACAAATCACCAGGGAATCTCACAATTAGCCAAAGAAGCAAAGGAAAAAGAAACATAATTGTCTTCATTCGGCCCTACAAAACTGCTTTCAGTCAATTAATCTTCAAAGGAGAAACCAATTCAGATACTCTAAAGACAGAAAGCACATTATCAAAGCTAACTCCATCCTCTAGGAAAAATATAATACATTTAAATATGAAAACAATATCAGCTACAATGCAATCATTAAAACAGATCCATGTGACATCTTTCAATATTTTACAATTAAAGTAAAATATTGGTCAGCTATGTGCATGTGAGGTTACAAAAAATTACAATACTGTCACTAATGTAATTGTCAAAAATCAGGAGAGGTATGAAAACAGGTAAATTTTCAGTTCCTAATGCAAAACCTGAATTTCTGGAAGCATCTGCTGAATAGTAGGATGATGTCCACAATACATTGTAAGCGATAAAAGCCACACAGTTCCAGCACATCGCTCTTCTTTCCTACTACTGTATAGAAGATCGTCAAAGAGCTTCTTGGTAATTGCATCTCTTGTAGAGGCATGAAAATCTTCAATGACTTCTGTTTGTTCAATAGGAAACTGCTTTAACTTAGAAGACTCCAAATCTCTCATGAGAAAGTTTGAAGCCATAGATAGCGAAGAATAGTTAGTTTTTAGAATTATATCAGCATTCACAGGAACACCGCCCCACAAAAATGATAAGCCTCCCCAGCAGCAAAAAGTATGTCCTCAGCCTGAAAGTTTAGTTACACACAAGTGACACTTCAGATGCTGCAATTTAACTGAAATACAAAAGTTATGCAAGAAATATTAAATTATATATTTTGGAAAGTCTGAAGAAATGAATTAGAAGAATTACTACATAAGGAGGTGGTTAGTCGACAATAAAAGCTATGATTAAATTGGCTAGGGAAGAATGACAACTTATGGTAAGAGTAAGAGCCTCATAATGGAGTTGTAGGGTTGAGGCATATGGCGCTATGATAGCATGTTTAATTAAGTTTTTTTTTTAAATAGATATTTGTCAGAATATAGAAGAACTAGAGGGAAAGATAAAGAAATTGTGCAGGAGCCTAGGAGGTCTCATTTCTTCTGTTGCCTTCTTTTTAGTTGTTATAGTGAACCTTAGTTATGGACAAAAACTTAAAGTTAGGCAAGGAGATGTCATTTCTCTATTCCTGTGGTGATATGTTGACTCATGAAAATATTAATAATAGGCTAAGGGTTGAACAAAAACACTACATAACACAGTTCATCAATTATACCTTTCATCATTATAATATTCTGAAGAAGAGCTTAACATCAAGATCGAAAAAATTTCAAACAAATTGATGACGAGTAACTCCCCAAAAGGATAACTATAAGACAACAAGAAGCTTCTTTTTACTAAAGGAAAACAAAAAGAAAGATTCGTAGTCCCTTAACACTCCCTTTTGGTTTTCATAATTATCAAAGGTTTCTCAACAACTTTGTCCGCCAGGGGTTCAAAGAGACTAATAGTGCAAGATTTATCAGCTGGGATGGATAGAGTTTAGAGGTTTATCATTTGGTGTTCACGAATGACAATTTTATTTTTGAACTATTACAAGTCTGAGGTTTTACTAAACTCTCCATTAAGCTTTTCACGTGAGAGTTGGCAGGAGTTAATAATCTGGAGAGAACTGTGGAAGAATCAGATGAGTTGGTTAAGGAATTTAAATTTTCCTTGACTAATTTTGGCATTCCTTTAAGGGGTGACTTGTGAGCTTGGTCTTTCTGGAACCCCTTTTTTGCAAAAGACTTGACAATTAGAAAGGGATTTATTTTTCTCCGGGCAGGCAAATCACATTACTTCGACTTTCCCGGTCTACCATTCCCCTTTACTATCTTTCATTGTCTAAGACTCCTATTAGGTTATCTAGTAGGATAGAGGAGACTTCACAAGATTTCTTGTGGTCGGTGAAGAAAGTAGAAAAACAGATCAATATTTATTAAGTGTGCTGTAATTCTAAGAACAGCTTCTAGTAGCAAAGTGCCTTAAGAGTTTAGACCCCACAAAAGTAGCAAAGCAGCTTTGGCATTTTCCTAGGGGGCAAAAGATCATTTGTTCAGTCAGGAACTGTGCTGAAATACCTTGGATCGACAAACGCTGAAAATAAGATTGAGTGCTACATCAAGTTGATTAGGTGATGTTTCTTTCACACATATATGTCCGATAGATATAAGAATCTTCTGTATCGCTTCAATGTCATCTCCGACAAGAAGCTTGCTCAATTTGTCACGCACAATTATCAGAATGTTATCTGCAGATTAATCATACAGTTCTATAATAGATCAATGGCTAACAGATAAAACAAACTAGTGATCATATAAAAACTCTACCTGAACTAGAATCATTAACAAGTGGAGGCAATGAAACACGCAGTCCAATGTGACCTAGTGCTTGCATTGCCACAGCAGCCAGCGTAGAGGTTTCAGAAATAACCACATCAACAAGACATCTAAGCGTATTCTGGCACAAAATTTCAGAGATCTGCCAAAATATGCATTCATATGTTTATTAGATACAACAACAAAAGCAAGCCTTATTAGATACAAGGAAACATATACAATTGAACAACTAAAACTTCTGTTTCAACCAATGAAGTGAGTTGGAGAACAGACGTGCATGTGATGTCATGTGGAGAAGCTAACATACCCAGAGTATAGTCCTTTCATGTTTGGATTGGGGAAAGAGGAGAAGAGTTGAGAAACAGAACAGAAGACAAGTAACTTTCACAGAAAAGAAAAATTACAATTGATATAAAATCAGAAAAAGAAAACATAGGCTCAGAAAAGTTCTTCAGTCTGACTTAATCTAACATACACCATAATGTTTACTTATATCTGATAAAGCATATGTTGTTTTAAAGATTGAGTGTTCATATAAAGATTCAGTTCAACTAAAAGATTTATTATTTTAAGTGAATACTTATAGATAATTTATTTATTTTATCATGCCCCTTCACATGATAGCCCTTAGGGCTTTAAGTGCAGATAAAAATACAGGTCCACCAATCTTTTGCTGAAACAATTTTTAATGTAGAAGAATATGGCCACAAGGACTAAATTCATCACACATTGATGGAGACTAAGGTAGTATAGGATGTCTAAGTTCCACATTGAGTAATACGAGATGCTCTAGAGGTTATTTAAGTTATCCCACCTCAATAGCTAGCTTTTAAGGAGAGTTCCCCATTGGCCCATCCCTCAAGTACCCATTAAATAGTACTGAAGTATGGTTGTCAACAATTTCAGAAAGGGCTACCTACCTAAGAAGGATACTAACGAGCAAAGTTGAGTGAAGTCTCACCAAGTGTCGTATAGTGTAGAAGGGACATTGGCTCTTTAAGAAGGCAAATTGATGGAGACTAGGATTGTAGGTGATGCCTACACATTGAATAGTATAAGATACTCTATAGGATATTTACATGAGTTGGTTCTCCCCCCTCAATAACTAACTTTTGCAGAGAGTTACCCATCCCACTTGAGTATCCATCACACACCTTAAAAGATCTTTCATAGGACAAAATTTAATATTTACCATTGGATTGAAAGCTCCCGCTCACTAATTCATGCTAAAAATTGTCAAAATTTATGTATGTGTCAATTGATGCCACCCTGCAAATGTGCATGTGTACTTTACAATCTACATTTACATATTACAAGACATAAGTTAAAGAAGCTTACTGATGGTGTTCTAGTCAAACAATCTGCAGTTACATATCCTATTGCACATAACGAGCCATGCTGAGTCTCAAACCTGACAATAGAACAATATAATATAAGCATATAGGATAGTTTCAGAATAGAAACAAAAAAATTAAAGATTTGACATTCAAACCTTGACTTATGTGTCCTACTGATTGATGAAGTCAACTCAGAAATAACACCAGATAATGCAGGCAAAGGAAGAGCAGAAGACACAATTCCAAGTAAACGAGCAATGGATTCACGAGTGTCTGTATCCACATGACTCAGTAGTTGCTTAATCCATGAAACTTTTTGTGCATAATTTGAAGCTACCATCTATAAACAACAAATGTGAGAGCAGGAAAGCAAGAGAGAAAACAATCAAGAAACTCAAACAACAAACCTCTGGCATATTTGATCCAATTGCAAGCAGAGCCTTGGAAGCATTGACATGCAACTCAACAGACCCTTCAATTGCCATAGAATGTTCCAGCAGTAAACAGAATTTCTCTACTGAGGACAGAAACTCAGATGATAAAGCACTGTTCTGTTCGAACTCCAATTCAAAGCACTTCAACAAAAATTTAATCATGGCCACATATGAACTTGAAGGAAAAAGAAGGCTATGTTCTCTCATTTGGCTGGACTCTAACAACTTTGGCTGGTGTTTAAGAATATAATCAAGCATAGATCCAAGTTTTGGGTACTGAGTGCCAGAAATTTGACCATCACCTTTAAGAAGACAAAGCCCTTCAAGAGCAATTTCCCTGTTACAAACCAGAAAAGAAAAAAAATTCAAATGTAATGGAGCTACAAATAATGTGACATGAATCTTGAGACTTGACAATATAGGAAAGATAAAATAAAGCAAATTCAAGTGCAAAACCTAATATCCAGTTTTGTATCTTCCACTGCAAGCATACATAAAAAACGACTTGGACAATGCTGAAAGTCAAACAATGACGTGGCCCATCTAATAGAACAATACCGCACTTCACTTTCAGCCTGCCATTACCAGCAAAAAAGTAAGATGGAAACAAGAAATGAGAGGGGAAAAAAATAGGATACCTCTTCTTTCTCAAAGAGAGAAAGAGAAGATTAAAACAAGGAAAATGATAAAACATTCATAGAGAAGAACATTTTCTGATCCCTCTGGATGGACAACAACTTAGGCTAACTCTCAAAACTTCTTTCCAAAAAAAACATAGATAGCATTTGATTCCAAGTCCCAATCAAAGACCCCACAGAATAACATGCAAAGCATAGTGCTATAGGATTTTCCCCTCATTCCTGCCTAAGCCTCAAAACTTAAACAAGAAGAAATTCCGCAACCTCTACAGGCATATCCATGTTTCATTAAAAACTGAAAAAAGGTTTGTCCAAAAAAATTGAGACTGATGGGAGCCAGTACCATGTTGAAGTTGTTCTCCAACTATGACATACTGACATCTTCATAAGAATATTTCAGCATATTCAAGGGTAAAAAACAGTCATAAAAAATTTCATGTATAATTGGTTCTTGTATAAATTTTCAATAAAAGAAGAGAACTTAGCAGAGACATTAAAAGATAAGAAATACAACTAGCCCATAAACTAATCTGAACATAGAGCCCATAGGGAGTAAAGGAGTCAGCAAGTTGAAAGGCATACCACTTGAGAATTTTTCAGCAGAAGCGCCTCCAAATCTTGTAACACTGTTAATGGGGCTCCCTGATACAAAAGATAAGAGCATTCAATCAGAATGAACAAGGGAGGGCAGGTGGGGAACTGGGTAAAGTCTCCAAGCAAGTGAAGAACAAGCACCCATGCTAGGTATGAAACATTAATACTGAAAACATTAAATATTGTACAAGATCCACTAGGGCAATCCTATGTGTAACCTTAAGGAATATTTTAGTCATAACTTGCATGGTAAACAGTCTTAAATTTATTAGAAAAATAATGGGCCAGCACTGAACTGTTTAGACTCTCAGATAGATAAAAAATAGTATTACTAAATATACTGAGATGCGGGAACCACTAAAGTTTCAAAGATATTTCCCTTTGGAGAAAAAAAGCATAAATTAACAGCATATTCACACAGAATTAAGAGAAAAGTACATACTTTGTAAGCTGCAGCAAGAGAAATCGTAGCTTCTTGAATAACAAATCGAAGAGACTGGGATTCAACTTGCAATGCATGGAAAAGACGAACAGCCATGTCAATCTTTTCCCTAAAAGGACATGAAATAGCTCAATTAGTAATAATTTAATACACAGGATCTAGTTTATAGTCAAGAGAACTTTAGAAAATTCAAAGGATGCATTTTAACTTTTGAAGAGATTAATATAAAGGGAGAAAATGAGGAGCATACACAAGGAGGATGGCAGACTCAGCAACAAATTCAAAAAGTAAAGAGAAGAAAATATTAGCTCAATAGACCACTCAAGTCTCATGAAAATCCAAACGTTACCCCAAGAAAACCATGAGCTAATAATCCAATGCACAAAACTCTATCTCACAAGGGATTTGAAGAATAAGGGCATAGTGTCACGAATGATATCTTCGTGACCGTGTAAAGACCAATGTAATGAACAATCCACTGGTTAGACTCGCACAATATGGTAAAAGGGGCGACATTGGCATTTGGGTGTGTTCTGCCTCAGTCTTCGAGCTAAGTGCACAACTGGTCAGGGGCTAGTGCCGCCTCCCTGATGAGCCCATGGCAGGGCAAAACCAGTGTGATTCGTATGTGGTAAGGCTGGTCTCGAGGATTATGGGATCCTCGGGACGCCGCACACTCTCAGCTCGTGACAGAGTGGTATCAGAGCAAGACGTACTTTACTGCCGTGTGCCTGTGGAGTCCCATGTTGGGACTAGTTGACCTCGACACTGCTCCAAAGGCCTGCGAGGTGTAGGTGGGTCCAAAAATAGGGACTCGGGCGGGAAGGTTGGCCGTGGCCGACTCCACTCCTGTTGGCTCGCGAGTGCGAGTGGGTCCGAAGAGTGCAGGACTCGGGTGGCCATTCAGCAGTAAGCTGAGGTGTTTGTGGCAGTACTGTATGTGCGATCTTTGGGCAGAGTCTTTCTCCCCTAGCACGAGGGCGTGCTAGATTAGGTGTGGGAGAATGTCACGAATGATATCTTCGTGACCGTGTAAAGACCAATGTAATGAACGATCCGCTGGTTAGCCTCGCACAATATGGGTAAAGGGGGCGACATTGGCATTTGGATGTGTTCTGCCTCAGTCTTCGGGCTGAGTGCACGACTGGTCGGGGGCTAGTGCCGCCTCCCTGATGAGCCCATGGCAGGGCGAAACCAGTGTGATTCGTATGTGGTAAGGCTGGTCTCGAGGATTATGGGATCCTCGGGACGCCGCACGGGCGTTGTGTGCTGCGTCAAACTCTCAGCCCGTGACAATAGGCTCACTAAATTTTCTTATATTACTTTCAAACTAAAAATACCACAACCCCATAATGGTGAGGAAATAAGCTTTATATTCCTTCCTCCTCCCCAATCCACTAACATGAACAGATCACATGTTAAAAAAGGTTAGACAAATCCATTGCTCATAAAAATTCTGTAAATCCACTACATTTTAAAGAAAAGGGGGTGTTATTGAAAGAGAGTAAATTACGGCCAACCAAAGGTTAAAATATTCACTATCCACACAGACCAGAAGGTACAAGAACATATCAAAACACAAAAAAATAACAAAAATCCTAAAGAACCTATTAATATGATAGGGCTGTTCAATCTCATTGCATATCAGATACAGTAGTTTCTTTCAAAGAAACCATATGCAGGCACCAAAGGGAAGGCGTAAACACTGTTCAATCCCATATCTGAAAAAGGAGAAAATATGCCCTTGAAATGTCCAAATTCCTTTCCAATTAAATAAACCATAAAACCCCATATACTGCACACTGCCACAAAGTTTTTTTCCTTCTCATCGCCAAACCCTTAATATTGAATTTGAATTAACTGATTTAGCCTACCAAAAGACCCCCAACTCTCACCAGAGATACCAAGGAGTTTGTTCCAAAGATGGCTTGCTACTTGACAAAGGAAAAAAAAGATGGGGCGGTGTCTCTAGACTGGATCTAACTGCCTTAAGGACCATTCATACTGGCAATATATCATTGTGTTTATCCTACCTACTATCGGAGTCCAGACAAAGGATTTGACCTTTGAAAAAGCTTTGGAATTCCAAATTAGCTTACAAGAAGACACTTACCCTTGTTGTATAATAAGTTAGGGATAGCAGATAAGATTTGCAAGAGAAGATACCGGAAGAATAAAAACCCAAACTGTGTATCTTGACTAGAAGAAAGGGCACATAAATGTCCAATTTCATATCTGACAAGCCTCCTCATATACAAAAAAGATTACAATTTGTCTCAGAATCTCTAAACACGTAACATGAACATCAAGAAAAGGAATCTCATGAGGCATACATGTCTATCACATATTCTTGCATTAATTACAACCCAGTACCACTAAAGTCTTCTTGTAGGAGAGAGTTCTGAATTTTTGCTAACAGTTTGATTCAAAAGAACTACTTTAAGAATGATATACATCTATAAGTACAAAGGATTGTGAAAGGCAGGCAAAAATTCAACCAAATAAAATGTATAGACCTGAAAAGATGAGGCATGCGCTGTGCAACCAACCCAATTGCCTGAAAAGCATATGTTTTGACCTCCCGAGCACTAGCATCTGAGTTAATAGGTAAAATTAAATATGAAATAAGTTGATCCTATTCCAATAATTCAGGGAACAATATCATTGTCTAAACTAGACCTGCATCTAAACTTGAATAGCTGTCAAGGGACTTCAGAATTCCATTCAGAATAACAGGACTCATTAACCTAAGCTGATCAATTTTTGCCTGCACTTCCAGAAATTAGAATTGTACGATCAAAAAGTAGACAATAAAATTTTTGTATAGAACAGTAAATTACAGAATGCAACTTCCAAAATATGAATCCTAAAAAACCCCAGAAGTAGCACACATTTATCAGAGTTATCCGCTTCTCACAGTTTGAATAAACATTTGATCGCTCAATAGCAATTTGAAAATAAACAAACATCATAAGTCTATTTGAAACAACCAGGAGCTTTAAAGCCCATTCTGGCTCATTGGATATGACAAGGCATGATGATATAAGTAGCATTTTATAAACTATCCATTCCATAAGCCTTTAACAGTGCAATGCGTTTGCTTCTGTTAGAATAAGTGATCAATAATTAGTTAGTTATTTAAGTTAGTTTTTAGTGAAACTTAATCATTATCTCATCAAATTAGTTGAGGTTTAGTACAAAAGCTGAACCATGGAGCATCACCTTGAACAATTAAGGTTCAAAAGTGTCAAGGACGCACAATTAGATAAAAAATATATATCCTATTTTTTTCTTCCTGTCCTCCATCCAATTCTACAGTTTCAGCAAAATTTAACATTTGGGATGTAAACTTTACAGTTTCTATCTGTCCCACGCACAAATTTCAGCTCATTGGGATATCTTAAGGGAGTTCTTTTGTCTGCCATGCAAGGAAGTTGGTTTACTCTTTTGGGTCAGTAATTAGTTTGATCCCCATTGGTACTTCTTTTTTTTTTTTTGGGTTACATCAATACAGTTTGTACTTTCCATTCTCTCTCAATTATTTTACCAGGGTGAAAAATAGTATATACCTCAAAAGCTAGTGTAAATAACCCAGAATACAAATCATATCCAACTGGATCATATCCCAATTGTTGCTTAAGATAAATAGTTTGTTCAAAGAGGGAAATCTTAGACAACAAGCGAGTGCCAAATAATAACACACTCACATGCTTAAATACCCATACTGTAAATTCCATTCCAAGCTGCTTCAACCTTGATGTGGTTCCGCTGCCTATTACATTCAAGAGTATGGTTGTGTTAGAAATTATTGAACAATTAATGGGCTTTCATTTAACAACAAATGCTTTTGGGGAAAAAAAAATCCTTGATATAAAGCGTAAATAAACATGTGGTCAGGAATTCAACTTTTGCCATCCTCCCCAACCCCATATTTCATAATTAAAATGAAACTAGATAGAATCATGAAAAGACATCTCAAAATGAGGGGGGGAAAGGGAAAATCAATAGTAGAAAATTGAAGTGAAGAGGAAGATTCCTTTAGTCAGAGGTTTAAGTTTTTAAAGGATTCCAAGAAAGCTATAAGCCCCATATAGCAAGTTGCATTTTTTATGGTTTGTGAAGAGTTCGGCTTTGTAAAAACTTATTAGATATATAAATATGGCTAATCAGATATCCCCCTTCTTTCCCTTTAGCGTTGAGTTATCGACAATTTGAATGGATATATAACTATAGCTAATCACATTGTTTTTCCTTTCAATCCTAGTAACAACGAAATCATCCATATCACAGGTACACAAGAATATCATCAAATATACGGACAGCAACACCAAGTAATAGAACATTCTAGTACCATAAATGCAACCAAAAATGCATTGCAAGGTGGATGGGAAAGTATTAGCTGCTGCAATGGACCGACAGAAGACGGACATTAATTTTGCTTTTAGTGCAGGGCTCCCAGGATTGACTCTTGATTCTGGATCAACATTTTCAACTCCAACAGTGCCTACATCAAAGTCAAACATGTACAGATGCTCAACTGTGAAGAGAGAAGAGAACAAAGGAAAACATAAATGCAAAGAATTTGCTATGTCTCTAATATGGAAGAGCAAAAACCAAAAAGGCACGCACAAGCCAAATTAATTTAACCAATCTAACAACTAACCATATAAATATCGCAGCATGAAAGAAGTGTTAAAGCAGTTGTTGGGGTACATTTAGGGTAATTATATAATCAAAGTTAAATTTAGATCAACAGTAAACAACTTTGTAAATATACCTTCTAGTAGCATAATCGAACACATTTATGACTAAAAATCTCAAGAGTCAAGCATATTGAAGTGGCCTAATTTAATTACACCTAAGGTACTAAATAATGTTCATTTTTAAGCATTGCTATTAGAGTTAAGAAAAAATCTTCAATTAATCTTATGCTAGAACAGAAGACAGAACGCTAACTTTTTAAAATAGCAACAGATGAAAAGGTGCCAATGGGGCACAACTCAAATACACAAAATGCATTCTAGAAGTCACATTTGAGCAACAGTTACATAGAAGAAATAAAGTAACATTTGAAACATGAAATGACAATTAGGAACAATCTCCCAGAATTCAAGAAGATTCTCAAGCACATTACTTTAGCAAGTCAATTTAATCTTTAAGAGCCATGCAGATTCAAATAGATTAATCACACGAGACCCTTACACATATAGTCATATATACATGGTCACGTACAGAATGTGAAGATCAAAAAACAATATCCCCATATCTATAATTTTTTATAGAAACATATGCCTATATGCCCAACTTGCCAAAAGTTAACAAAGCATACCATTAAATAGTAAAAATAGCCTGTTGATCAGATTTTGATCATCTAAATTAACACCATTGGCCTTCTTCTTCAAAAGCTCCTCGCCTTTTTTAATAACAGACTCTTCGCTTGAGTTAATCAATCAAACAACACAAGTAATCCACAAACAAATCACCCAAAAGATATAAATCAGTAAAAAGAGTCAGATAATGCGCAATTGAATTCACATAACACAAGAACTACATTATACCAATCAACAGAGGCAGCAATATATAAGGGATATACAAGCTCAGCGGCCAGCTCCATGGCTTGGATGACATTCAAAATACCCAACTGCACACAGAAAGAAACCAAAAAAAAAAAATTACCACTTGCAGCATCTTTGTTTTTCTTTATCAAGCGAAAAAAAAAAAAGGGAATAAAAGAGTTAGGAAAAAGGAAGAATAAAATGTCATCCGAAAGAAACCTAAGAAAAAGAACCAAATAGTATTCAAATTAAAAATGCAGCAAAGCAGCTCGATGTCATTGCAGATCTGATATGGCAATCAGCAAGAAAAAAAAAGTAAGCAGGACACCAAACTTCAAACATGAATACCATGCTTTCCTGCAACAAATCCATAGCCAAAGATAATCTTGCAAAAACAGCACCAACAAAGAATTTCATGCACCTTTCTCTGCCTGAAACCCACATACTTAACAGCTTAAAAGCCTGTACATTGGGCAGTCGAATCTCACCCTCGATAAAAACACTACAAGGCTATTTCAAATCTGCCAAGCCACGTCGTAATGTAGAAAAAGATGATTATTTGTCTTAAGAACTTCTAAAACACATCACACAAATATCTAGTGATATTGAGCCTCCAAATAACATATCACTTGCATTGAATATTAATTCTATTAAATAATATAGTCCAAACAACAAACTTTATCTTAGAAGGAGCGTTGATTTTTTCCAAGAAAAATTTGACAAACGAAAACAAGGGCCATTTGAATTTCAAATCAAACAATTAATGATGCAATTTTATATACGTGTCTGTTAAGCACAATCACTTGGCAAACTATAACTAGCAGTTAAGTGCATATTAAGACCACCTTGAAGTGAAATTCATCCGATGATTTCTCACAACAGTAAAATATCAAGCATAAGCAGCCTACAACTTGGTTTATGCACCTTTCAAATGTAATATTTGGGAATAATAATAACAACAACATCAAAACATTTCCCATATTATCATGAAAAATATCATTTAACCAGTTACATAGTTACCTTTCCAAGCAGAAGTTTATCACTTGGCAACTGTTGTTTCCCTGTAACACGATTGGCTTGAGAAACTGAAAGTCCAGAAGGGAAACCACCACTGCAAATAATCATCAGCTAACATTTAATTTACATAAGATTGCAATAAAATATTCTAATGATAGAACAAGTTCAGATATTGCAAGGATAGTTTCAGCAATCAACGTAGCTCCAAACCTCTGAGTAACCTGCTGGTACAACATTGTGTGAGTAAAAAACTCAATAAACAGCTCCCTGTCATGTGGATCAGTCACTAATCTATACTTTGCAGCAACTTCGTCACTAATTTGACTTGAGTGGCATTCACCAACTACCTAAGAGAAAGAAGAAATTCATTAGCAAGAGCTCAAAAACATATGATTGTGGGCAGCTAGTCACAGCACATGATACAAGCACACAAGAAGTTAGTTAAGGCCCTTGGCCGGGACACGATAAGGCACTTCATGCATGGCCTTTTTTTATTTAATTTGTGATACTAAAAGAAATTTTATTGAAAAGAAAAAGGAAAAGTTGAAAGTGCATGTTGCTTTGAGGAAAGGAGTAAGGTCAAGCACCTAGCATCCTATTAATCATTTTATTTCTTTTGATAAATTGTCACCAAAGTTGTCAAGCATTTTTCAGTGTTGTCTCCATGGAAAATTTGCTAAGGAACTTCTTTAAAGCTGTAAAGAAAAAGGAACATAGATCTGCCGTTGCTTGTGAATCCAGATTCCAGAAAGGATGACCCCTAAAAAGACCATTGATGAAAACTACAAAGAGGCCACACAAAGAAATTCTCTCTCAATTAAGATGTGATAAAAGAAACTTCTCATTAAACACTCTCACGTTCCTTTCTAATGACAGACACAGCATGCTAGCCAATACAGCTCACTTCCAAAGAACTTTATGCTCCTTTTCCTGGCCACAACCAGTAAACTTAACGGCTAAAAATTCTACAGATTAGCTGGAAAAACTGATTGAGTGCTGGAAAATACCAAACATCCTACTACAAAATGGTTGTCACTACACAATGCAGAAAAAGATGATTGTGTGCTTCAGAACAATGAAATTATATACGAATATAAGGAGAAAGGCAATTTTTGGTCTTTGAATCTGAAGCAAATCATTTATATTAATTCTGTTCAGTGCACGTATCCAAACCAAAAACCTTTAGCTTGAATAAGCAACAGAAGTGAAGTCACTATATAAGGCACAAGGCACCCTTACCGAAAAAAATAGTTAAAAAAAAAAACTATGATCCTGGAATTAAGGGCATCAAGATTCAATCCAAGAGCAAAGAGAATGGCAAGGGAGGGAGATAATAAGATATGGTTTCATTGTTTGAAGAAATATCGATCAAAAGGGACGCCGGGGGCATGCAGAGGCAAGTACATATACATTAAAGAATCATACAGGAATCAGTAGCCATAAATATTATTTAATGCACCATGACATTATTTTGTGTACGATATAAACTTAGAAATAAAAAAATAACATCTCTAAGCAAAGAGAAATAGGATGGTCACAGTCATTATCTGGCCTGCAAACTCTAAATAGAGAAAAACATCAATACAAGAACTATATGAAAACTAATTATAGTATTGTAAAGGAGATAGGAAGGTCAAAACCTTAACAATGATTCTTAGTATGATTTCCTGGTGTTGAAGAGGAAGTTTTGAGATGTTCACCAAGAGAACAGGCGCCAAATTCTCTTTTTCCTGATTTACATGATCAAATATTAGATTTCATGCAGAGAAAAAGTGATCTGTTAAATTTTGAGCCGGGTGATTGAAGCCAAGGAAAAACAGATCTTTAAAAGGGTTCCAAATAAAGCTTTGGAACAATCGAATTGTCTATCCACTATAAAATTATATATCTCTCGTAGAAATTTCAGTCAAATGGTAAACCGGTATAAGCAGTATCAAAAATAACATTGTGGGATAAAAACCAACAGCAAATAGTCACTGTATTTAAAAGTTCATATATACAGACCTTTGCATCTACACGTTGAAACGCCATCTCTATATACACAATACAAAAATTCCTTATCATGGGAGCACCACTAGATTCTGAGTAAAGTTTCCATAACTCCAATAAAGGTAAACCAATGTCAGGCTGAAGTTTTACTCTTTTGTTCACATGACTCAAAATCTCAAGAACCTGTTGAAAAGATAACAAATTAACAATTACAGGATGTTATTTATAAAGCCAATCTATTTCACTACATCAATAAGCCAAGAGATCAAAGGACTGAAACACAGCTAACATGGTAATTAAGCTCGAAAAATTATTGTTGTTGAAGCAAATTCATACATATTTTACATAGGAGTATATTTTCATCTTTCAACGCTGAAAAGGGAAGTAATTTGCTGGCGTATCAATACTCTACTTAATACACTAGCTTAAATCCAACTTATCATAGGAGATTTTACAAATAAAAACAGTACAAGATACAGGATTAGCACTTCATAGTATTCATTCTAACCATCCGTATATATATTACCAAAACTAGAAAGAAAACATTGAAACATCTCGCAAACTGCCAAGAGCAGTGATCATTCTCAAGCAAAAATGTAATTTCGAAATTCCGCTGAAGCCTACAACGACACGCCACGAACGCATTCAGAAGCTACCTTGTTCCGAACAGCTTGGGATTGAGACGATAGGGAGGAGATGCAGAGAGGAAGAAGCTTGGAAAGCAAAGGTTCGAGTTTGGAATCATCACAAAGAGCCAAACGAGTTAGCATTCGATCAAGCAGTTCTTCAATCTCAGCATCAGACTTCGCTGCCAGCACTGATGTTGACGTTGACGATTCCGCCATTTCTTCCCTCTCGCTTCTGTTCCGGCTTTCCCAATGGTCTATACTCTTCTTCGCGCTCAAGTTAGGAACGAGGATTGTTCTTGGCTTTTACACTAGTTTGATCAAGCCAACAGCGAGGGCCCTTCTCCGCCAAACACTTCACTGGTTTTCACAAAATATGAAATTAATCTAGATTGGGTTGGAATTAGTATGGGTTCGTATTAAAAAATTAAAAATTTGTAATTGAAATTAGGATTTAACTGAGTTAGTAAATTGAAGTTAAGAAAAGAGTATGTAATTTTAATGTGATTTATGTTTGAATATTTTTTTTAAAAAATCAGTTAAACAGATTGAAAATATTTAGATAATTTGATTCAAAGGACAGCAGTTAAGATATATAATGATAAAAATAAGTATAAATTTTATTGTATATATTTTTGTGATTAATTTGATATTTTTAAAAAAATCATAAACTTTAAATTATTTTTTTTAAAAAAAGGTAGAATTAAAATATCTAAAATAAATTAATTGTTTAAAAATTAAATTTTTAAAAAAGAGCATGAAAGAATGATAAATTATATTCTATATATAATTAAAATTTAATAAATAGTGTAGTTTGATCTTCTTTTAAAAAAATTAAAATTTAGAAAAATAATATATGCAAAATGAAGTATTAAATATTAAGTATTATTTATAATTATAATATTGGATTGCTCTGCAAAACTACCAGGTACAGTGATCCCCACCTTGCCAACTTCTAATGTTGCATTGCTCTGCAAAACTATCCTAAATGGAAGAGAGGTCTCAATGGTGAGAGTAGAGGAGTCATTGGCCAAGGAGATAAAATGACAGAGAGAAGGGGCGGAGGAGAATGCAGAGAAGATGGGTATAAGGAGATTAGATCTAGACCAAGAAGAAGAAGAAGCAAAGCAAGAGAGAGCCATAAGGATCTGTTAGACTCGCAAAGGAAGCCAAGAATGCCAGAAACGTTCATTTGAAGTTGTGGAGGGGAGAATGGAGCGTTAGGTGAGGACTGAGATGAGCAGGGACATGCTAATACAAGAAGGGACGTCAGAGAGATAGAGGTCAGCCGAAGGTCCTTGAGAATAAGACAGTGGAGATCAACTAGCGAAGACACCACCGCCTGTGAGCAATGCAAACAAGGGAGGTCACGAGAGCAAGAAAGGACCACGCACGCGAGGAAGTGAAGCAGAGTTGGGGCTCAAGGGAAGATAGACAAGAGGAGAGAGTAAGCTAATGCTTTCCTAATGAATCAACGCCAACACCCAACGTGATGGAAAAAGCTAAATCTAATAGCTTCCCCAAAAATGCTCATTTACACTCCAACTTAGGTTGAAAATTTTTGCTCATCCAAACAATATTTTTTAAACTTTTTATATCCTGACCTTAATTTGACCTATTCCGACTGAGGTTAAAAATTAATCCAAACATGCTCTTAGTAATTAGAAGAGATAATTTGAATCGGTGGAGCTTAAAACTGGCTCAATTTTTCACCAAAAAACCCAAGTTCAATTTGAGTTGGGCCTGTGTGGGCCCATATATCAAGGCACAATCTTAACCCCTAGGTACTTGTCCAAGTACTTAGAGACTTAAATAATTTAACTTGGAATCTCACGTTTGAGTCTTAGGATATACAACAGGATAGCTAAGCATGCAAACATTCCTTATTAGTGATACCTGCAAAACTTCCTTAAAAAAGGCCTCACCTAAATGGGGATTTGGATTAGTTTAGGGTGAACTGGATGGGCAATGAACCAAACATACCAGATACTTCAAGATACTGGGTGCAAAAGCAAAAAAAAAAACTTATTATGATGGAAAAGTTAATTTTTTAATCCCTCAACTTTTAACTCATTCATAACTCAATCCTTTAACTATAACTTGCTACGAATCAGTCCCTCAACTTTTAACTCATGTATAACTCAATTCCTCAACTTTGAATTCTTCCATGGCTTAGTCCCTCAACTTTTGGTAGTTTTTTCATGTTAACTTAAATTACACATCAAAAAGTAAGAGAATGATATTTTAGAGCAAGAGATAAGCATCTTTTTTATCCTTCTTATTTGATAATGATAATTTTTTAAAAAATTTTGAAAAATAAAGATCTAGTTATAAATAAATCAAAAGTTAAGAGACTTAATTGAAATGAATTATAGTTGGGAGATGAAATTATAATGAGTCATAATTGAAAAATTAAGTTACAAGCAAAAGAATTAAAAGATTAATTTTTTTCAATTATAATTAGAGCTAGAGTTTCTTTTTTCTTTTTTTACCATTTGATTATTACTAGAGTTAGAGGCTTTTTTTTTTCATTTTAACTTAAAATTAATTAAGATTGTTATTATAAAAATATACAATATACTTTTCAAGACATTCAATAAATATGAAAGAATCAATTTTTGAAAACATTGTGCACCTAAAAATTTTAAAATCGAGGTTAAAATTTATTTTTTAAATTATTTTAAAGTATTTTATAGATTAAAAATGGAAAAACAGACCTTTTGATCCCTTTGCTCGTGTTTTGCTATAGGTCTCTGCATTTTTTTTATTCTGAATCTTTGCACTTTCATTTTTTAATGTTATAGGTCCCTAAATGCACAAAATAAACAAAGTGTAAGGGCTTTAGATGCATATAAAATACCAAAAAATGAAAAAATAGAGACCCAAAATGTTGAAAAAAGTGTAAGGACTTATAGTAAAACATAAGTAAAATGCAAAGATCAAAATATATGTTTTTCCATTAAAAATTATAGAAATATAATGATATGAATTTTTTATTTCAAAATATCTGCTTAAATATGTATATAGTCTCTTAATACAAAATAAAATAAATCTTAAGAAATTAATAAATATTCAATACATATTATATATAATACTAAAAAATAAAAAAATTGGCTATTTTTGAAATTTTTTTTAGACCAGCCGAAATAGGCTCAATTTTTTTTTTTAACAAACGAAATAGGCTCAATTGGAAGGGGAAAAAAAATGCATTTTGCGTAAACTCCGTTCTAAAATTTCCAAGGTTTATTCTTCTATATCAATAAAGAATGCATCAATCACATTATTATATTTTTATTTTTGGTAATAATATATACTAAGAACTGAATCACTAACTCACCAGTAATTAAAAAAAGAAAATAAAAGCCCAACCAATTTCAAGCCTATTCATTCAAATAAAGAAACAACAAAACAAATTTAAAAAAAAAAAACGAATTATATAACTATAAGCGCCTCTCAATGACTCAACTCATCAAATCAAACAGAGCAAAACACTCCCTAGAAAAACAAGACAATTTCCAAGAAAATTGTAACAAATTTTCCCGGAAACAAACGACCCAGCTGATGATTTCTCAGCCTTCTCATCATCATCAACATCATGTGGATTGTTGAAGTTAGAAGGAACAATAGTATCTGGAGCTGCATCTTCATCTCCAGACACAGGGCTAGCATTAGGTGAAGGAGAATCTTGAGAAGAATCTCTTAGATTCTTCGGTAACCCTTGGCCATACGTCACGTTGATCTTGAAGTGTTGCCCATTCTTGCACTGCTCGCCGTCGTAGTCACTCGAGAAAAAGTACGTCATCCCTTCCTTCACCAGTGGCACCGCCACCGCCACCGAATGCGGCTCCGTCGCTGATGGGTCCGACGCCGACCACTGGACAGTGTCGCTGTCTTGTGCATCGTCGTAGTCACAGTATTTGTATGTTGTGAAGTTGTATGTCTGGATAACAGAGTGGTTGTTGTCTGTGTTGAAAACTGCATTATAAAAGTCAAAGATTACACACACACACACACACACATAAAATGGACACTAAGTGATAACTGATCTTAAATAAATTTAAAAAAAAAAAGCTTTAAACTTTAAAGTCGTTGTAGTTCAATAGAATTAGACTGGAAAATAAGTATATACAAAAAAGATCACATATATTTTCAATGGCACGATTTTGGGTTGTAAGTGACAGAGCGAAGTCACTTTCTTTAAAAATATTTCATGTCATGTTTCTTAACCAAAATCCCAAATTTAAATATTAAAATTTTCTTTTTCTTTTTTGTAAATTATTTTTGTTAACCAAAGAAACAAGATTAATAACAAAACGAAAAATAAACGACTATAACAAAGTCCAAGAAATTGGTGGACTAATTTCCCAGACCCACAGCCAGAATGAAAAGATATAAAACGAAAACAAACAAACCCAAAAAAATAGAAAACAAAAAAAAACAAAAAATGAAAATAGACTCGAAAACCCAATAAAATAAACAGGACACATAACAAACAAAATAGAATAGAAAGTCGCAGCAACAGGAGATTCTTTGAGGAATAGGTCCACGAAAGATCAAACGCTCAAGAGAGCCAGTAGACAGATGCTTCTAAACCTCTGATCAATCAAGAAAATTTTTATTTAAAACTTGACAATACTCGAAACTATATTAATAAAACATATTAGATATTGAAATGTTTTTTAAAAAATAAGATGAAAATTCTAGAATAATTAATGTTGACACCCCCACGCACACATTGTTTTTGTCTTGATTATTTAGCTCGAAGAATTAAGGTAAGCATATGACCATATATATATATATATATATATATACTCCATTCGTTAAAAAATATAAAGTATTTTTAAACTGAATCTCACTCCCTAATAAGGTGGTTTCATACTTTCTAACTAACCCTATCTTTCTATATTTATCTCTATTAAATACCCTACAATATAAATATAAAATCATTGTTAATAGGGATACTTTAAAAAAAAACAATGATTACACCTCGAAAGACTAAAAATACTTTATATTTTTAAATATTTAATTTTTTAAAAAATATTTCATATTTTTTAATGAAAGGAGTATATATTATCAGGAACCCTAGTATCATTGACTTTTTCAATAATGACGTAAAGAGAATGTTTGTACCAAAAGAAAAGAATAACGTAAAAATGTGACACTTATGACAGACACAGTGATCAGTTTGGCATCAGAATCTGAGATTTTTATTTTTTATTTTTTTTATCTTTCTTTCCCTTTCGTTCCATCGAAGCCACATGAAGACTAAAGATACAATCATGCCAGTTAGCCTCATTTCTGGGTTATTATCACTAAAAAGCTGAGTCTTTAAGGTTTTGCT